TGTGTGGGAATGTCTGTAAGAAAGTCTCTTGATAAATGATGGATGTGGGAAGGTACGTGATCCTGGGTTGTAAAAGAAAGCAAGGTGAGCAAGCCATGGAGATCAAGTGAGTAAGCAGCTTTCCTCAATAGCCTCTGCTTCAGTTCCTGTCTCCTGGTTCCTACCTTGATGTCCCACCATGACTTTCCTGACTGAGGGACAATAACCCGTATGTCACCCTACCTGGTTCCTACCTTGAAGTCCCACCATGACTTTCCTGAGTGATGGACTATAACCCGTACATCACCCTTTCCTCTCCCAACTTGCTTTTGGTTATAGTGTCTATGGATCAACAGATAGGAAGTAGAAGGTGAGGTTGGGTGCAGAAAGAAATCAGATCTGGAGGCAAAGGATGCAACTGTGTGAGACACAGGTACTGATGGCCCAGGAATGATGATGGAGTCAGGCCACATGAGGATGGATACCAGACAATACACTTCAGCATCTGCACAGCTATCAATGGCCTTAACAAGAGACTGACACAAGATGCTGGGGGGAAATGGAACCACTGCTGGCCTCGTTTAAGGGAAAGCTGAGGTGAAAGGGTTTATAGAGACAGCACCTCTGGAAAGTTAAGGGGAAAAAATGGTATTCTTCTCTGTATTCTTCTGTCTTCTTCTCCCCTTAAAACTCATTTTCTCTTTCTTCTGTCCAATTTTCCACAGGCAATGGCTTTCCTATATCCAGTAAGTAAAGAAAGTCTCCAGTGATTAGCTCTCCATCCACACTTCTGCGGGGGAACATTCCACTCTCGTTCTTTCTTCTGCCACACGGAACAGCTTTGGAGTTAACTAAACCTGTCTTAGAGTCCTTTGCTTCTTCCTGTTATATCATTCCCTGGGCTTTCACGCCATGATATCAAAGTCAAGTATAAAGTCACCTGGAATCTATCACTGCGTATCTAGCCTGTGGTACTTATTTATAGCATCATCACCTGAAAGAGTTAAACAATCTAGGGGCCCTACCTCTGAGAGTTTGATTTTATTAGTCTTGTGCAATTCAAAGGGACCAGGACTTTTTGCATCTGCATAGGTAAGATTAATGTACAAGCAAGGTTGATGGCCCTAAATGCTATCAAAGTCCTTCTTCTGAGACCCACAGCATGTAATTTAGCATCAAAACTTCTGGTCTTGAACATTTACTTTTCTGTGGACCAGAATTATGCTAGTCTTTGCACCCCAGTGACTGCTTCAAGAAAAAAGGAAAGAAAGAAAGAAAGAAAGAAAGAAAGAAAGAAAGAAAGAAAGAAAGAAAGGAAGGAAGGAAAGAAAGAAAATAGAAAATTCTTTGACATGTGGCTTTTGATGAAACGGGGGAGGAATCCTTTCTGTTTATATGTATAAGTTGTTTCTAATGAGATAAGAAAATCAGAAGTAGTGCAGGAAGAAAGAAAACAATACAGTTAGATGTGCAGATGTGTCCGTGTGATGCTAGGATGTTTGAAGCCAGAAATGATTCCTGAGACCTGCACACAGGACACACGGACACATGGATACACATACACACACACACACACACACACACACACACACACATCTCTGGGCAATTTTTTTTTTACAAAAGTAACAAAATGCGGAACCTGTCATGCCTTCTCCCCAGTGTTCTGAAAGTATCAACATAGATGAAGCGTTTCTAAACCCACCCTAGAACCCACTGCTTCCTAACTCTGCTGATCTGATAGTGTGTTAGCACTTCCCAACTTTGCTCTCCCAACCTAATCCCAAACCACAGTTGTTTAAATAGGGGACTCTCCTTTGCAGGGCTTTGCCATAGGAATGCCCTTCGTTCTGTTAGTGAGACTCCATTTCCTTCTTACTCATTTGAAAGCAGCCATGAGATGAAAATAAGAAAAGTAAATACAATAAAATAAGATTGGGAAGACGCCCTGTGAGTCCTGCAGGGCTGTGTGCAGGCCCCAAATCATTTTACCAGTACCGCCTACAATTCTGGTTTTTTATCCTCAGGTAAATCTTAACTATAAATCTGTGGTCAGATTAGAGGGAATATATGTTGATTTTGCAATTAAATGAACAAAATCTGAATTTTAGGTTCAACTGGATATAGAAGATTCCATTTTCATTAAATGTATAACGGTACTTATAAAAAGGGATCAGAACATTCCATGCCCAGATCACTGGTAAGTCAGAGAAAAGAAGGGGAAAATTAAGAAAACCTGGCCTAGTGTTGAATGTACAATACCCAAAGCTGCCAGGAATAGTTCTTTGAACTTCCAGGGAACTTCGTATTTAAACCACTGATTTCAAAGGCTTCTAAAATTCCTGGTGTAAAAGAGTAAAGGTGTTTGGGAAAGTTGGCCATTTTGAAAATAATGCTATTTGTTGGGGTTCTAGCAATCAGGCTCATTTTGAAGCTAAACAAGAAAGATCATTTTTCTCTTTTTAGGTCAGAATTGATTTTCCCTCTTCTCTGTTTGGGTATAATGAGGTGTGTTGTCTCTGCTGCTGCTTCTCTGGCTTGTGCAAACAATGGAGGAACCCCCAGTCCTGGCCATCTGTCTGACTGTGACTGACTCTTGCGTAGGCAGTTTCCACATTCCACTTGTAACTTTTTACAAAAGCTGTTATTTTTGAATGGATGCTGGTTTTAATGTCTGCCTCACACAGCCAGAAACAGAAGCAATCATTTCCAGGAGCTGCTCAGACAATGTAACTGAAGGGAGGGCACTGACAAACAGGACAGGTTGGAAGGTGTTTAATATTGTCACTCTGTCTTCTGTTTGTCATGAGAATTTCCCCTAAAGAAATTGATTTTAGCCAGTAATAGTTTATCAGATATCTTTTTGGTCTTTGTCCTATGCATGCATCCTTTACAGATACACGCATATCTTTTTACAGATACAGTCTAAAATATTTCTAAAAGTGGGCCATTTTGCATACAGTATCTTATTTTTTCCACTTAAAAATAAAACATAAACATCTTGCTATGGTATTTTCGTCTACAGGTCCTGAGCGGGGTGCACACCTGCAACCTCAGCCCTCAGAAGCGAGGAGCATAAGGATGACAGTTTTGAGGCCAGCCATTTCAATGCCTATGTATGATACATAATGATCCGATAAGATAATTAGCTACCCATAACCTACAAGACATCCTTATGGCAAAATTGTTCAAGATGTCATGCATTAAACTCTAGTTTGATCCTAGGCAAACTATGTCCACTGATGCAATTATGTTATGCAGCTAAGATAACTCAGCACACAATTACACAAAAGCATTTTCTTATTGAAATCTATTTTCATAGATTTACCCAATGTGCAATATACTTGGGACTAAGGGGCAAAAATAAAGAAGTTTGAGAAATAGAAATGAATATTTACTGAGCACTAATATTTCTAGAATTGAGGCTAGAATATGCTAGTTCACACATTCTCACAAGGAGATTATAAAGTAGATTTTACTAACCTCAAGATTAAAGGATATGGCAGAAATAAAGACATTAAGTAAGGTACTCACAATAGTGTTAGGCAATACGAAATGAGCACTGGAACTCAGTCTTTCCCTAAAAGAGGCTTTCTTCTGGGCTCCCAAATCATGACCTCAAGTTACAAAGGCTCGGCATTGTCTTATGCTTGCCCCCACTAGCTCTTAGAACTTACTTTAACCTGTTTCTCTTCATCTTCCGTTGCCTCGGGGCTTCTTACCTTTCTTTCATTCTGTATGTCCTGGGTGTCTGGCAACTACCTGGTTGGCTGGCCCCAGTGTCTCCCTCTCTTTCTCCTCTTTTGTTTTCTCCCTAAATTCCTCCTCCTATTATCCTCTCTGCCCATTGTCCCAACCTATCCCTCTATTGTCTAGCTTCTGGCCAGTCAGCTTTTTATTAGATCAATCAGGTACCTTAGGCAGGCAAAGCAACACATCTTTACATAGTTAAACAAATGCAGCATAAACAAATGCCACACATCTTTACATGGTTAAAGTAATGTTCCACAATGGTTCCCTGTCGTCACCTGATATCTTTACACTACCATAAACAATGTTCTTCATGGACTATTGGAATGCTCACTGTGGCTTTGTGTTGACTGGAAAGACAGACACAAATACGCATATGTTAGGAAATACAAAATTGAGGACTGGAACTCAGCAGTTTTCTGTCTGTCTTCATCATCTCTTTACAACGCCGTAAACAATGATCCTCATGAATATTAGAATGTTTGACTGGCTTTGTGTTCATTGGAAAGGCATACACACACACACACACACACACACACACACACGCATATGAAGGTTCACTGGCCAAAACAGTCTCCACAAACACTGCTTTCCTTGGTAATTTCTCTATAGAACGGTGAAATAATTTTCCCAACAAAGTCCATTTTTCAACTCCATTAATATAAAGCAAAACAAACTTAATCAAACATGTGAAGTAATTTTACTGATGAAAATACAATCATGCTTTCTGGTAGGAAACAACCAAGAGCGACGTTTGGCTTCACAGAACACTCTGCCATCGGGAGTTCTCAGTGGATGTTATCCTGGACAAATGGTATTAGTCATCCTCATCCGAATATCAGACACAGGAATAACCCTCAAATCAATTAAAGATAGCTGGCTCTAAAAAATAACTGCGATACATTGCCAGCTCGGAAAATGATCCAGGGATCGCTGCAATTGTGCCTGAAAGCATCTGGATAACTTATATTTCAATATGTCTAAAAGTCTGTTCATTTGTTTAATGTTTGCTTTATTATTTCTTTTGAGGAACGTCTTGGTTAAGTCTTGTATTTATATCATTTCTACCCGACAATCTCTCCCCTCCAGCTCCTTCCCTACCCACCACCTTCAGCTTTATAACCTTTTCAATTATTATTCTTATAATACACAGAGAGAGAGAGAGAGAGAGAGAGAGAGAGAGAGAGAGAGAGAGAGAAGTACATATAAAAACATCTTGTTGAGAGCTGCTCATATGTTTCTGTGTTTAGAGACAACCACTGGAACTGGCTTACCTAGATTGGGGCTCCTCTCTGCAGAAATCCGGTCTTCCCTTTTTCAGGAGTCATTACTTGCTTGTAGCTCTTCATCACAACAATGTGATCTTGTGAGATCTAGCAATGTGGCCTTGTGAGATTTCCCACTTCCATGCTGGGCATCGACAACTTTTATCATTGTACAGGTCCTGTTTAGGTGGCCATATTGCTAATATTTCATGGTGTTGTGTGATAAAACTTTTCCTCACACTCGTTTCCTCATGCCAGATAGGGAACCCACAACAATCCAATATACAGAAACCACCAAAGTCCAACTTGGTGGACTGTTGAGGGCTGTGGACCCCCGGCTCTGAGTTTCCTGTAAACACTTGTTATGCTTGCAGCTGCTCTGAGCAAAGCAACCTGTTTTCCTGTGTTTGCAGCTGCTCTGAGCACGAGACCCTCCGGAGTTCCTGATGGCAGGGGAGTGGTTTCTGGTGGGTTTTGCTGGGACGTGGCTGTCAGTTAAGGATCCCTATATAAGCTGCCCTGGAACACAATAAAGGGGGCATTCTTGTTTCAAGGATGACCGTGTCCCCATGCCTCTGTCTCTGTGTGTCTTTGTGTTTTCAAATCTCCAGCCTAGTTCCCGGCTCGCGTACAGAACTGCTGTACAGGCAGAGTACAGTGGACCAATGAGTTTTATAAGGGTTACTTACAAAAACAGAAATAATGCAAAGGCAGTTGCACCCCCAAGGTCTACCCTAGCCTGGGAGACGGCTCACCCAGCTGTGAAACTGGACCACACTGCACAGCCTGCAGGCAGCTCCGGGGCTTGGAGAGTGTCCTTTCCAAGTGCCTCCGTTGGTCTAAATCTCTTCCAGGCAGCTCCTCTTGTCTCGGTCTTCATAGCAGCTCAGCTGGTGTGAGAGTCTTCCTTGCAGCTGGGTTCTGCTTCCTCTGGTAGGGAGAGGCTTGGTGAATCTAGTCATATTCAGAGAGTTCTTGGTGGTGGTGGTGGTGTTTACCTCCCTTCTTAAGGAGCTCCCTCGCAGGATGGAATGTTTTTGTCTCCAAGGAAACTGGTATTCAATGCAAGGGTGCAGCTCCCTGCCTTATATAGAAGAGATTATCTCATAATAGATGTACCGATCCTCTGGCCATTATAATATTTTACACACTTTTCTGGGGTGTTCCTTGAATCTTAGGTGTAGAAATTGTGTTGTAGATGTATTGTGCTAACTAGCTTTTATCTCAACTTAACACAGGCAAGAATTATCTGAAAAGAGGGAGCCAGAATTGAAAATGCCTCCCCAAGATAAGCCTGTAGACAATCTTGCTGGGTATTTTATTAGTGAACCTTAAACCTGGAGTCCATCCCTCTATGAAATCCTGCCAGAATGGATGGCACTAAATAATACCAACAAAAGACTGGAGAAAGTCCAGATGTGACTTCCGCTGAACTCACAAGAGTCTTCACTCTCTTTCATAGAGGGAGTGGGTAGCCATGAACTGGGAAGAACTCAAGTAGCCATGTAGCCTTAAAGGAAATTCTTGGACCTGGAAACAAACTAAATGTTCCTCGACCAAAGAATGGATAAGGAAAACGTGCTACATTTACACAATAGAGTACTACACAGCAGAAAAAAATAATGACATCTTGAAATTTGTGGGCAAATGGATGGATTTAGAAAACATCATTTTGAGTGAGTTAACCCAGTCCCAGAAGACAAATATCATATGCAATCACTCATAAGTGACTTTTAGGCATAAAGCAAAGAAAACCAGCCTACAATTCACAATCCTAGAGAACCTAGACAACAATGAGGACCCTAAGATCTAATCTACATGGGAAGTAGAAAAAAGACATGATCTCCTGAGTAAATTGGGAGCATGGGGACCATGCGTGGGAGAGGGTAGAAGGGGAGGGGAGAGGATGGAAGGGGAGTGAAGAAAAATATATAGCACAATAAAAACAATTAAAAATAGCTTTTAATTAAAAAAGGAAGTGCTTTGGGATGAATAACTGAAGCCTCCTACCCGTTTCCAGCACCAGCTTCTCTCTCACGTGAGTGAGCCATCTTAGCAATGACTCTAAGCCATAGCCTCCTGTCAGACAACTGCAGAGCTAGCTGAGATTTCAATACAATCTTACAACCAAAAATCAAAGCCAGAGCAACTACGAGGCTGCCGTTTTGTTTCTGCCATGAGAAGTGTATGGAAAACAGTCTTCTGTCTTCCGAAGCCACTAAGTTGAGAGGTCTCCCTGCAATGAGAGATGCTCATGCTTTCGGTTGTCTTCCCGTCGGCTCCATCACCTCCGCTTCCATCACCTCACCCACACGTCTGAACAACCATCTCCAGTCCAGCCACCGCTGGAATCGCCTATGAAATTATGAATTTGTTTTTGCTAATTCCTTTTAGAAATCTCTAATGATTGCCAGCAGCCTGAAAGGTAAAATCCAAACAGAATCCATGGCAACCTCATCACAACAGCTGTTTAGGGTCATCCTGACTACTCCTTTCCAAACTGCTTCCCCCTTTCCATTCTGCAATGTCTGCACTCCGTTCTTCCACACAAACTGTTTACCACATTTCTTTCCCCCAGAAAGATCATTTTTTAAGTGTAAAGGACAAATGTTACAATCTCTGGAGTCTTCACAGACGCTGTCCTCAGAATAATTAAGTGTTCGTTCATCTGTCTTCCCTCAGTACATTAAATATGTCAGTGGTAAAGTATTAAAGCATAATGTATTGCATTGTGTTATACTTGATCGGGTTTGTTTTTACCTCCTCTATCAGACTGTGACCTTCCAAGGGAAAGGAGTCTTGTCTTAGCCATCACTCATCCTCAGAGTGTTGGCATGCTAAATGAGACATAGAAGGAACTCGATGTTTCTTAAATCAATTAATTAAAGTCTGGATGTTCCATCCTATCTTTTCTCATTCCTTACAATAAACTGAAGGAACTTACAGGTCACGAGGACCTGCTTATATATCAGGGACCTATTTGTTGTGTTTTCCAATCATCTTCTAAACCCATTCTTCATTTCCACCCCACTTGATATTCCCTAGTTAGAATTCTGGACTACAGGAAGGAAGTATATGAACATAATGTGAGAAGACCTATTGATGCTGTCTGATAGTGCATGGGAGTTCGGTCAGAAAGGAAGATGGTGAAGACATTAACATTGACACCCAGGTCGATCCCCTATTTGTTCATATTTGTTCATCAAAGCTATATGAATAATAAAATGACTGTTAGGATCATAACCATTCTTTCACTCAGTGGCTGCAGGGTCTTACAGGGTACAGTAGCAAGATCCAGAGGATTCATGTGTACAAAGACGCAATCAGAGTAGTTAGCATTGCTGCTTTTCATGGTGCTTTTCAAACTCCCACTTTTAGTCTCTTCATAAAAATATGTAACAAGTTGTGAACTATACTCACCTTGATGTACTATCGAAAATTATAACTCACCACTATCTACTGTGATTACATATTGACATCTATTACCCCAAATTCCTCCTAACCTCTAGTGAACACTATTCTACCAACTTTTGTCATTCTTATGAATTAGGTACCACGGTATTTTCTGGCCTTTAAATTTTATAGTTTGCCTAGAAATTGGATAAGCAGTTGTAGCGTACATTTACATAGTTACCTAGATGTTACAGTTGTATAGTTACCTAACATGTCAAAGCTTCTGCATCCCCTTAGTAAGCTGGATTATGGTATCTTTAAGAACAATCAAGCAATACCTTTGAACCACACTGTAAACCAAGTCGATTGACTTGTCCCCTTAACAAACTTAATGTTTGATAGCTCACAACATCTGTGTTTCTGTTTATAAACTGTGTGTATGTCTATGTCCACTAAATATATCATACACTGAAAAATGAGGTCATAAATATTTAAGTTGGGAGAAGACCCCAGTCTCCTCTACCCTTTATTTCAAATAACAAAATTTGAAATGATGTCTGGAGGATGTCAGTTTCATAGGTTCAAATAGCAGAGTGAATGTCTACTCAGAGTGATAGATGTCTCCCCATGTTTACACAAGTAAAGTACAAACTGTGATCCAGCTGGCACATTCACTAAATATCCCAACGTGTGAATTAATTAATTAATGGCCTGTTGTCAGTGTCGGTAAATACACACAAGAAAAAAAGAGTATCTATGGAAAATAAACTCGAAATGTACTCTTAGTCAAAATATCATACTCGCTTCCAGCATTATCTAAAAAAAACAGAAATTATGTACCATTAATCAATTCAGAAAATCAAAAGAGGTGAACCGATTGATTGACTTACATAAATGACCAGCAAACAAGAAACAAAATCCTTATAATGCTTTCAATATTCATCTAATCAAAACTTCACCTGATCTTTTAAGCTTCTACTTTATATAGCACTTGCTGTTTTTTTTATAGTATTACACCTCATCTTTCTGATATATAGTTCTGTACATCATCAGATGGACAAATAATCACATTTCCCATATTAGATTCTTGCATGTTATGTACAGGAAAGGCTACATTTCTGTGTGGGACCATGGCTTCCAGCCATAACTGGCACTGAATTACTACCCTCCTTTAAACAACTACAGAACCAGAGGAATGCAGGTGGGATAGAAAAGAACTCTAATCCAGGAAGTAAAGGAACTGAGGAAATAAGTACCCAACTGTCTGCCCTCGCATGAGGCAGCCCCTTGCCAACCACTGCGCAAAAAAATGCAGCCCAAACAGAGCCTAGCAACTAACTTCTTATGGTAGACACTGAAAAGCTCATCACAAAATCCATGAGAAGACAGAGGGCCCCAGAGTAGCAAAAAGTCATCTTAAGAAAGGTTACTGTAGTGTTGGCTTAAGGAGAGTCAAATACATCAGTAAAGTAGCTTTTAGAAAGATCCCAAAATAAATCAATGTTAAAAAGAAAGTCACCTCCACAAATGTATCAGAACATCTAGACACTCGTGCAAGAAAAAAAAGACTCGATTTTAAATGTGTCACACAAAATTCTAAAAGTAATTTGAGAAAGATCATGAACCTATACATAAAGCCAATCTCTAATTCACAATCAAAAGACACAGACTAATAGTTTAAACTCAAAAGTAGGACCCATCTATTTGCTGTCTACAGGAAATAAATTTCAACAGCAAATACAGACATAGCCATGGAATAAAAGAGTGGAAAAATATATTCCAAGCAGATGAATTTACTCTTACATAAGACAAAACAGGTATCAAACCAAAACTGAGCTCATAAAGAAGGTCACATGACATTGACTACGGACAACCTGCCAACAGTTCTAAACATGTATGCACCATATTGGCATATCCAGTTTCACAAAGCAGACTACTGGGTATAAAGACACAGGCTGACGTCAATGCAACAGCGGGTGGTTCCAATACCCCATTCTCATCCACAATCCAGTCATTGAACAAAGATATCTCAAGTTAAGATGATACAAAAGGTAGCCGACCACTTTCTGACTGGGTCCCCTCCACTAACGGGAATTCATGTCTGCTACTGCAAAACTGGTCAAAAGCCCACAGCTTGTGAGGTCTTATACCTTAGGGGGGAAGCTATTGCTGCTGCTTTACCGAATGGACATACTGTGCCTGTAAGATTCCTTCTAAATGTTTGTGTCTGTACCTATACAGAAGTAACACTCTCAGCCTTGCTCAGAGAAGCCTTGTTACACAGTGGGTGGTGATGGCTGCTGAGACTCACACCTGGTGAAAATGCCGAGAATAAGTGAGTACTGGGTGCTCATCTCGAAACACGACGTCTACAGATGCCCTTCCGAAGGTCAAGGAAAACAGTGGAAGAAGAGGCAGAATGGAATATAAGAGCCCGACGACGGGGAGAAGTGCAGGCGGAAAGCCGTCTTCCAGACACGGCATCTGTAGTTACACATGCAAGGCCTGTACGATACTGTACGTGGATGAGGGAGGCGATCGTGAG